TCCCTCGTGCGTGGCCCCAGCCTGTCCCCTGGCCGTCCTCACATGCTGTCGTCCCTCGTGCGTGGCTCTAGTCATCCTGCCCTGTAGCGTTCATCTCTGATGTGTTAGCTCGAGAGAAATGTGACTCTCTTTGGGCATCACGACTGGTTTACGGACTTTGCCATAAAATCTGAGAGTGAGTGCATCGGCATCTGTGTATTCAGTGTGCTGCTTCTGTTTAATATGTGAAAAAGAAAGTAGGGGATTACTGTACAAGGATATGTCAGGGGTTCATGTTCATTCTGAAGGGGTCAGAACCAGTCTCCGTCCTGAAGATAAAACCGTGGTTGTGGTTCGGCCGTGGTGTGCAGAGCAAACACTGTTCTCTGTCCTCATTCGCAGCCACTCACAAGAAGAGTGTATTTCACCCAAAATAGTTTTAAATTCATTAAATGAATTTGCAAACCCAAAAAGATACGCATGGTATAGGGTAAGAGGTACTTGTTTATGAAATAGGCTAAAATGAATTTTCAAGAACTAACTTCTGGAATCTGACAGTTTTGGGTGCTTGTGTCTGACTCCGTGACACGTGTGTCCGGCTCCGTGACGCATGTGTCTGACTCCGTGATGCGTGTGTCCGGCTCTGTGACACATAGCGGTCTGGTGGACAGCACCACTCCTGGGAATCGCTGGCCGCCCATGCGGGTCACAGTTGGGAGTGGTGGCCTCTGGGAAGGGCAGCCAGTGGATGGCTGGTACAGTGTGCCCACTCGCACTGCTTCTGTGGCTTCTGCTGCCTGTAAGTAGGCTTGGACCATGTTTACAGGATCTCTGGCTCAGATTTCGAGTCCGAGACTTAAACTGCTGACAATGAGCTTCGTGTCTGGTACTCTCAGATGAACCTGCCAAGTCTGGGGTGCTGAGGAGAATGGAGGGGCTGGCTGGGGTACAGTCTTGCCCTTGTCTTCCTGCTGGTGGGTCGCAAAGCTCAAGGGGAACTGGCGACCTGGCCCAGGGCTGCTGCGGTGAGCTGTGGTCGGCAGAGGGTGACTGCAGTGTGTACAGGCCACACCGATCCCTTACCAGCCTGCTTTTCTATGGAAAATACCTCTGTATGAGGTGACCTACTACAGGGAGGACTCAGCTCTCCATCAGCCAGAGGTGGACACAAGGAATCAAACCAGGAAGAAAGCCCCTTACATAGTTCACCGCTGCCCTAAACTAGGGAGCTTTAGTGGCTTAATGGTAAGGAGACGTGCTGCCAGTGGAGAGGTACAAGGTTTGATTCCACCAGCTGCTCTGTGGGAGAAGGAGGGGCAATCTCTTTGTGTGATTTACTGCTTCTGACAGTCCACTGAGGGGTCAGCTGTGGGTCGATTCTGACTCCTTGGTACATGAACACCACCCCAAACTGGTGTCTTTCTCACCCTCGAAAGCCACTGTCTGCTTCTGTAACAGCGTACTCTGCTTAACAAACCTGGCTTCTGCTTAATAGATAATCTTTCCTCTTAATAGACCTGTCTTTCACAGATGCACTTGGTACTGTTTGATTTTCGTGTCTGTCCAGGGCAGCCTTGTCCAGAACTGATCCTGGTAGGGTCGTGCACCGGGACCACAGCCTGTATGTGGTTACCCTCTGCCGCCCCACAGCCCCTGTAACGGGGGCTCCAGGTGGAGAACAGCTTCCTCTTTATGTTTCTATTTCAAACCAGTTTGATTCATCCTTGAGTGAAGAGATGGACTGCAGAGAGTACAGTTCCTTATTCACGTGGTTCCTGGTCTAAATAGGGTTTTCTTTAATGTACACTCAACTTTAACTTTTCATTTTTACTGTATTTGACTTGTAGGAGAAAGAAGGAAATCATACGAAATGCTGTTATTTCTGTGTGCATTTTGTGTGCTTCTAACCCCTTACAAGTCAGTGATTAAAAGATTAAACCGACACACTGGAGTCATCTCAGTCACACGGAAATGTTCGATGTGCTTTACTTATCAATGCAGAAAAATAGAAAAAAAATACACTGTAACACTATTTCCAACAATAAACAGAAGACGGGGTTTTTGCTTAATCAAAAATTAGCCAGAAAGAACCTTTTAATTAAAATACCTCTTAAATATTTATCATCAGTTTCCGGTACTTGAAACGTAAGCTTTTCCTGAACCCCTCAGCACCACGTAGGAAAAATGGAGAAACCTGATAGGCTTTATTCTCTGCTACCTGAGTGTCCACGGAACACAAGACTCCTCTGACACAGCCGAGAACTCTCCGCTGGAGCTCAATGCAGGTGGCAGACCGAGTTCTTAAAAGCACCTGCAGCTGGCACCTCCCCCAGGGTTTATGAGGCCCAGGTCCTGAAGAGGAACCGAGTAGCTCGGAGGCTTGGGTGTCATCTGCCCATCCAAGCATGTCTTCCCGGCCGGCCTTTGACCCCATCAGACAGCGTGCTCGGGGTGGGAGCAGAGGGCCTGAGCTGTCTAAGGGAAGTCCTGCTCTGCTGGCTTCACTTGGTGAGGCCAGCAGCCCCAACACAGGGCTAAGGACGAGTTATGGCATCTGGACCTGCATGAGGAGGGAGCTGGCAGGTCGCCCCACAAAGGCTCAGGCACGTGAAGACGCTGCATTTAACCGGCCGGCGTGATGGGAGCTGCGCTGTGGCAAGAGATTGGTTGGCTGTGTCTAAAGAAAAGAGGGATTGGTGGGACATAGGAAAGGACAGAGGAGGAAGAACAAAAGACACCATCACCAGAATGGCCAGGCAGGAAGCTGGGAGAAGGGCCTTCACCTCACAAGTGGGAATGTGGGGCTCATGTGCCCCTGGCGAGCTCCGGGGCTTGGAGCTGGTAGCAGCTCACCTCTCTGTTCAAGCCCCTGCTGGAGGGGCGAGGGGGCCCTGGAGAGCTCGGGGGCTTGGAGCTGGCACCAGCATTCCCGGCTGCTCACCTCTCTGTTCAAGCCCCTGCCAGAGCGGCGAGAGGGCCCCGGCGAGCTTGGGGGTTTGGAGTTGGCACCAGGATGCCCTGCTGCTCACCTCTCTGTTCAAGTCCCTTCCAGAGCGGCGAGGGGGCCCCCGCGGGAGGCCTGGCCCATTCACACGGGCTCTGTCGGCATGCACACCCACAGTTTCAAACTCCAGAACATCACCTTCTGCAGTAAATGTCAAAATAGATCAAACCAGTAAAAAAAAAAGTACTTCTGGCAAAATAGAGAACTAGTGAGCAGGGTTAAGATGAAGTAACGCTTGGTTTGCAAAAACTGGACAGAGACTTAGGGAAAATGAGCAGGGTCCTGTGTGCATACCCCGCGGTGCGTTTGCTAACGCTTCGCCCTGCTGTCTCCGTGTCCTGATGGTTTTGAACGTGTCCCATAAAGCACCTGGGACGGTCAGGGGCGGTGACATGGGCGAGCCACGCGTGGGTACAGTGGTGACAAGGAGTCGTTTCCCACCTGCAGGCCGACGGGGGGTTTGTTGAGCCTTCAGAGCGCACGTCTGCACTGGGGAGCCAGCCAGCCGTGAGGGAGCCGCCTCGGGTTCAGGAAGCAGGCTTGGATTCCGTGGTTATTTCAGTCCAAGTCTTCCCAGCACTAAACTGTCCGGGCACTCTCTTTACTGTGTCGTGTGGAAGCTGTTTTCATCACTCTCTTCCTGTTGGTAAAGGCGTGGTATGTTTTTCTGGTAAAGTTTCGCACAGCACCATCTAGGTTGCCTCCTGCTACTCGTGAAAGGTATTTTTCATCCTGAAAGAGGCCTGCATCCTGTAACTCCTCTTTTCTGAGGGCAATTTTTTGTGGTCCAGGAACAGGGCTATGGAAACAAAAGAAAAGAGGTCATGCAAGATGAATGCCGTTTCCTCTTGAATAGACTAGTAATCTCCCTAACAGACAGCAGTGCCCATTCCCATGTGCAGCTTTGCTCCACGGTAATTTTGTTAAGATTATTAAGCTAAGAATATGCACTGGCCCATATAGCAGAGGCCAGGGAATGAGACGCCCTATCCAGGTACGAGAAAGGAGAAGTTCAATATCAAAATGCAGCATGTTTATGAAACACTCGTTCTATCCAGATCTTTTTGCAGTTGACTCCTAATTATGCTGATCTGGATTCCAGTGGTCCTTCTTCCGAGATCATCAAATACCATGTGCCCCAGCCCCACTCCACTCCACTCCCAGGCACTCGGGACACTTCACCGGGCACCATTGACTCAACTTTGATTAACTCGTGAACATCTTTCTAATATGGACTTCATTAATATCTGTGTGTTCACCACTGGAATCGCAAGGGTCCAGGAGAGTGCCGATGAAGACAGGAATGCCACGCCTTCCCTCTCAGCCTTCCGCCATTGGTCACCCACCCATCCTTCCAGATGCCTGCTGTCTGTTTTCCGGGGCACTGTGTTGGGCACAGGGAGGAAGTGTGGCTCAGTCTGGCAGGCACATACTTTGCCTGTGAGGAGTGCAGAACCCAGCAGTAATTCATGACCCTGAAAGCCATGCACGCCAGGAGAGGCAATCTCGGGGTCTCAGAAGCCCACCAATGCTGTCACGTCTGCAGGGACCCTCCACGGGCTTTTGACATTGTTGATGTGGAAGGGTCACCCATCCTCCTCTCTGCTAGGGGCTGCTGCTGGATCCGGAATGCTGGAGACATGCAGCCTTTGTGTTGGCAGGACAACACGTGACTCACTGAAAGTTCTAGAATGTCCAGTAGAGCCTGAGCCAGTATCCTGTGGCGTGGCACTTACTAACCACATGTCCCAGCGGTCAGCATATCGGCCTTGCTTTGGGCAAGCCTGCTGCCGGGCCCTCTCCAAACCAGTGAAGACCAGTGATGTCGGGGTCTTTTGAAGTGACACCACTTTTAACTCCTACAGGTGGCCCTGGGGCCCAGTGATGTTGGTTTGAAGACTCCTGTGCACCTGATTCAGTCTTTGTGGTCACTTACTATGCATCTGAGCGCTGGACAATCAATAAGGATGACAGAAAAAGGATTGGCGCCTTGGAATTGTTCGAGAAGAGCACTGAGCGTCTCCTGGCCGGCCTGAAGTGCAGATACACATGGGGAAGGTGCAGCTGGAAAGGTCCTGAGGGGCTAGGAGGTGAGACTTCGGCTCCCGTAGTTTGGATATGTTGCTGGGAAGAGGCCATTCCTTGGGAAGAGACATCACGCTTGGGAAGGAGGTGGGCTGGTGAGCGAGAGGAAGACTCCCCAGGAGGTGGACTGACGCGGTGACTGCAGCAGTGGGATTGATGTCTCAGAGATGCAGAGGAGGCACAGGTTAGTGCAGGGTTCAGGTCTGTTGTCTGTAGGGTCGCTCTGAGTCACCCCATCAGCACTTAACAACAACAGTCACCATGTGTGGCTTTAGCACTTGAAAAGCATTTTCAGTGTCATTTGAGCTGGTTCAGATACCCACACCCGGCCAGTGAGTGACTGCTGTGTTGACCAGCCCTGGAAGAAGCTGCAGACGACTCACTTCATAGGGACGTGGTACAAAGACCAATGGTCCGAACACATGCTTCTCCAGCCCTGCGGCTTGGGAACAGCACAGTGGGGAAGTGGTCCTGTGTCCCCAGTGGTAAAAGCAAGAGTCCTGCTGGCAGGGTGGTGGTTGGGCTGCTCCACTCAGTCACCATGTTCTGAACCCACCACCTGGTCCACATGAGAACACACGGCAAGAGCCGGTCCTGGGGATCTGAGGGCGCGGATCTCCTGTTCTGTCCTTGCTTTTAGGTCCCGTCAAGTTGAGCGTGACGCGTGATGAGCCGGTGAACAGCAGACCTGAGCCCGGCCGCACCCTGCGCCCTCCTCACCAGCTGACCTGCTGGAGCCCACGGCTGCAGTCACTGTGCCAGTCCCCCTGGTTGAAGGTCCCCCCACCTTCCCAAGCATAATCTCCTGTCCTAGAAGGTAGCAATGAGCGGAAGCCAGTCAGTGAGGGTTTGTTGTGTTACGAACAACGGTGGAGCCTCCCGCCTCTCCCTTTAGTCTCTTCTGTCTCCTGGAGACTGAGGTGCGCAGAAGTACAGGTCAGCGGCAGATCTGGGCCTATCCAAAATAGATTATAACCAAAAATTGGTCAGAACCAATCTTTAGGGGGGGTTACCAAGTCCATTATTCCTTCCGCTGAGAACGGTGTTAACGATCTTTAGAACGAGGAAGGCAGCTGGCCTGGGACAAGGTGGTACAGTCAGATACAGTCAGGGTTAGCTACTGGTCCAGTCAGGGTTAGAAGGCCTGGTACAGGACAGGCTCGTCATAAATACAGAATGAGGCCCTGGTGGGCCTGGTGGCTCCAGAAGAGAGGGGTTTGTCAAAATCACCAAGCCTCTGCTGTGGGCTCAGTGGAGGGTCAGAGGGGATGGGAGAGCCATCGAATCACAGACCAGGGGGCAGTGGCGATGTTCACTATGGTCACTTCTTCAGAGAGACCTTTCCTGCTTCCTCAGCGATAACAGTCTGACCTCTAACATCACATGTTCTGTCCTCATCCTCTGTAGAGGGGCAGGGTGAAGGAGACGTCCACCAACCTAGATGCCATGGACATTCACGTCTCCATGCATTGTGTACTTTATGTCTGAGCGCTGACCATCTGTGTTTGTCAGAGATGTGCTAACGTGACCAGCAACCCTCTTCTGGTTACCACGGACAGCAGCCGTGATTACATTCCAGTGAGAATACCATTTGCTCATGGTTTTGTTGGGTCCCATCGAGTCAGAACTGACTCATAGCTGACCTCTGGTGAGTTTTCAACGACAGTTAATCACCTGGGAGGAGATTGTTATCCTCCCACGGAGAAGCTGGTGGATTTGACGTGTGCCTTCAGGATTGTAATTTCTCACCATGAGGCCACCAGAGCTCCCACATGATATGTCAAACTCTGAGAGAAATGGGAATTCCAGAACACTTAATTGTGCTTATGCAAAACCTATACTTGGACCAGGAAGCAGTTGTCAGAACAAAGCAAGGAAATGGCATGTTTCAAAATCTGGAAGGGTGTACGCCAGGGATGTGTCCTATCTCCATACCTTTCCAGTCTTTATACAGAACAGATTATCCAGGAGGCTGGGCTCTATGAGGAGAAATGTGGCATCAGGATTGGAGGAAGACTCATCAATAGTCTGCGTTATGCAGATGTCACAACTCTGCTCGCTGAAATTGAGGAGGACCTGAAGCGCTTGCTGTAGAAGGTCAAGGACTTAAGACTTCAATATGGATTGAAGCTCAATATAAAAAAAGCAGAGATTCTCACCACTGGGCCAATTGGCAGCATAATGATAGTGAAGAGATAAACAGCTTTAGTTTGCTTGGCTCCACAATCAACACTCTTGGTACCAGCATCCAGGAAATTAAAAGAAGTATCTCATTGAGAAAGTCTGCAGTCAGAGACCTCTCCAGAGTACTGAAGATCAACAGTGTCACTCTGGAGATTAAGGTACACCTGATACAGGCCATGGTCTTTGCAATCACTTGCTAGGTGTCAGAGAGCTGGACAGTGAGTGACTAGGGATGATAGAAGGAGAGTTGATGCCTTTGAGCTGTGGTGCTGGAAAAGAGTGTTGAATATACCATGGACTGCCAGGAGAACAAACAGGTTCGACCTGGAAAGGGTGAAGCCAGGCTGCTCCTTGGAGGCAAGGATTCTGAAGCTTTGTTTGACATACTTTGGGCATGTTGCAAGGAAGGACCAGTCCTTGGAGAAGGACTTCATGCTTGGGAGGGTAGAGGGACAGCACAGGAGAGGAAGATCCTCGATGAGATGGATTGACTCAGCAACTGGGGTAATCGGGATGGGTGTGTCAGAGACAGTGCGATTGGCACAGGATAGAGCAGGGTTTAGGGCTGTTGCACATAGGGTTGCTATGAGTCTCAGGCAACTTGATGGCACAGAACAACAACTCTTAGATTTTTGTAATAGAGTTGTTGTTGTCTGCAGGGAGTGCCAGGGCTGCTGGCTGGCTTGCTCCCTCTGGCCTTTGCCTCTTGGAGGCGAGTTTCCGCAGGCTCTGTGCTCCCCAAGCGTTTCTGCACCGAGCTTCCAGGCGCCCTCAGCAGGGGGAGCCCCAGCCCTGGGCTGTCTGAGGCCTGACTTCAGCCAGTGTTTGCTGCTGGACAGCTCCCGAGCCTGGAGCCAAGGAGGGAGACTCCAGAGGGTAGCTTCTCAGAGCTTCTGACACTGGGCTTCTGGACTGGGAGAAGGCGCCTTCGGCCCCACCACCATCAGAGACAGACACAGACACACACACAGACACACACAGACGAGCAGTGGGTGCCTTTCTCCTGCCCCCTCCCCATGAGCATTGGATGTCCTTCTGCTCCACCACCATCAGACACACGTACACCTCCATACACTTCCTCCCTCCCTCTCTCTCTCCCTCTCTGTCATGAGCAGTCACTGTGGTGAGTGCTGATTGTGGAGTCAGGTAAAATGAAATGGTTGGATTCAGTCTTTTCTCCATCACGATATTACTTGTTGGCCCAGTAGTGAGCATTTTTGTTTTCTTGATGTTGGAATGTAATCCATATTGAAGGCTGCAGACCTTGACCTTCTGCAGCAAGTGCTTCAGCTCCTCTCATTTTCAGCAAGCAGGGTTGTGTCATCTGCATGATGCAGGCGATTGATGGGTCTTCCTCCTCCTGATGCCACATTCCTCTTCATAGAGTCCAGTTTCTCCAATGATTTGCTCAGACAGATCGAATGGATGTGGAGAGAGGATGCAGCTCTGACACACTTTTTCCCTGATTTTAAGCAACGTAATGTACATGGGGTCGCTATGAGTCGCAAGCGACTCGACGGCACGTAACAACAACGACAACAACAGTGCTCCCTCGCTCTGCTCAGACAACAGCATTTTGGTCCTACATATAGAGGTTTTGCCTAAGTACCATTACGTGTTCTGGGATTCCTATTCTTCTCAATTTTATAATAACAGTCTGCTCCACAAAGTCAATAAAACAAACGTCGTTCTGGTGTTTCTGCTTCCAGTCAAGACCCGTCCGATCAGCAGTCAGCAGTGATAACGCACATGCCGAACCCAGCTTGAGTTTTGGGTGTACTGATGTACTCGGCATTTAAAAACTATTTTTTCAGCAGGATTTTACTCATATGTGATATTCACATTATTTAATTCTTTCACATTCTTTTGGATCCTATTTCTTGGGAATGAGAACAAATAAGGATCTTTTTTTTTTTTTTTTTTTTTGCAGTGTTTGGCCAGGTAGCTGTCTTCCAGATTTCTCGGCACAGAGGGTGAGCACGCCCAGAGCCGCACCTGCCTGCTCAATCATTTCACTCGACACCTCACTGGTTCCTGGGTGCTTATTTTTTTGTCAGGGCAGCTTGAACTTCTTCCTTTGTTACCATTGGGTCTAGATCATCTGCTGCTTCCTGAGACAGTCTGTGCCGGCCAGTTCTTGGTACAGTGACTGTGTACTCCCTCCATGTTTTTTTATTTTATTTTAATTTTTTTTATGCTTCCCGCATTATTCAGCCCATATTATTTTACCCGTCATGCTTCAGTACTGCAGCTCGAGCCTCGAATCTGCTCTTCAATCCTTCAGCGTGAGAACACTCAGCGTGCTCTTCCCTTTTGATTGTCTAATTTCAGCTCTTTGCACATTTTGTTATAATATTTCGCTTTTTCTTCTCAGTCCCCTTTGAATTCTTCTATTCACACATCTCTTCCCTTTGTTTTGGCCTCTCTGGACAATGACTAAGGATGACAGAAGAACAGATGTCTTTGAGTTGCGGTGCTAGAAAATAGTGTTGCCTATACCGTGGACACCAAGAAAAACAAACAGGTCTGTCTTGAGAAGGAAACCAAGTTGCTCCTTGGAGACAAGGATTCTGAAGCTCCATCTTACAGACTTTGGGCATGTTGCCAGGAGGGACCAGTCCTTGTGGAAGGACATCACGTTTGGAAGGGTGGAGGGACAGCCAGGAGAGGAAGAGCCAGGATGAGATGGATTGACACAGTACCTGGGACAGTGGTGGAGGGTGCGTAGGAGACAGTGAGACTGGCTCAGGACAGGACAGGGTTCAGGGTTGTCGTCCATTGGGTCACTGTGAGCTGTAGTAGACTGGACGGCAGGGAGAAGCATGGGCAGTCTCCTCCCGTGTGGTTTACAGCCTCTGAGAGCCCAGGGACGGTCAGGTGTACGTGTGCGCCCTGGAGCCGGAATCCCCACTGGTTCTGACTCAGTGTCACGTAATGACAACAACAGCAGCTTATTTAAATACCGTTAGCAAGAGCTTCTACCTCAATAGTGTGGGCGAGGATGACGCTGAGGAAGGAATGAACGACGAGGATACATGCCCCAGGTCAGACCCCACGGACTTACCTCTGGAAGCTTCGCAGCGGCTGCCTCGGCTCCGTGGAGCTGAGCTCTGTGGCGCTGAGCTGACTGCATTTGGCTTTGAGGGTTAGTGGTGGGTATTTGTTGATGGCACCTGGGAAGAGAGGGGTCTCGGTCATGGCTGTGAACATTCTGCAAATGTGCTTGGTCTGCTAAAGCCCCTTACCGTTCTCAGCACCCCTCAGAGGAAGAGGCGACTCGGTGGCCGTCCAGATGGAGGCCCATGTCCCTGCTTCCAGAGGGGACTCTAGATCTGAGATTAGAACAGGTGTCTCTGCTCGATTTACTGGGAGAAAAGTTGGCTTATTTTCCATTAAGATGCCCTTGGCCACTAACGTCAGATATCAGAGGGGAGGCCGGGAGCCGCCCTGAGCCTCAGACCTTTCACTGCCGTGAACTCATCAGGACAGTGTTTCATTTCCTTCTGTGCAGGAACAGGGCCCAGAGGAGAAGGGAGCCTCCTGCGGGCTTCGCGTCGGCAGTGACAGTGACTGTGTACCTCTGGCCTGACCCACGGCCGTCTGCACTCAGAAGTGGGTCCACCAAATGAATTTCTCCAAATAATACCACATGCCTCTTCCGTTTGCCAGTTTAAAGCCCATTTTTGATAGAGACCCTTAAGAAATGCAGTCCCCACGTCCTTGCAGCATGAAGTAGGACAGACTTGTTAAACAGGCCTGAGTCTCTTCCTGGAGAGCTAGTGGTGTTCCAAGGAGCAAGCTTCCTGAGCCCTGGGGCTGGCTGCAGGGCATAACGTGCCAGGCTGTTAACTGTGAGGTTGGCGGTTCAAAATTACCAGTTGCTCTGCGGGAGAAAGCTAGGCAGCATTCTGTAAAGATTTGCCGCCTGGAAGCCGGACGGAGGCTCGCTGGGAGGGAGGCTCAGCTCGGCCGCAGTGAGTGGCCTGTTGTCGGCAGGATTCTTCCAGGCATGAGTAGTTCAGGCTGCACGGAGCCGCCACACCGGGCAGGACGGTGAGCTTCTAGAAAGCACGGCCGTCACCTCGCCTTTCGCACAGCTGGCTTCTCCTGATCGTGCCCAGACGTCAGGCTGTGCGTCAGTGTCCTTGCTTCTCGTCATCGACTGCTCATCCTGATGTGGACCAGGCTTGGCAAACAGGTGCAGCAGCGTGTGAACAGAGCGGCAGCCACTTACGAGGGACTCACTGCGGAATCCCGGGGGGCCGGCCGGGCCAAGTCGGCTCTTCACTCCTGGGTGCTCATGCCTGGACCGGTCAGCGGGGGTGCCTCGGAGTGTGCCATGCTGAGCAGGCAGGGGGCTGCCCACCTGCCAAGGAGTTACGTGTGCTTTCCTGGGACGGTGCCAAGCTCAGTTTTTTGATTGATTGATTGATTTCCTGTAGTTTTATGGATTTTCCCCCCCTCCAACTTTATTTTATTGTGAATTTAACAAAGTTTACAGCTTTGTTCTGATCCCAGAAGTACAGCCCACGTTTCCCTTCTCTTCCTCTTCTCATATGAACACAAGTTACACGATTGCTGCACCATAATAAACCATTACAGAGACGGCGAAGGTTTCCCCGGGCTGTCCTCTCATTCTGACGGGAAAAATGGCATCGGCTAAGCCTTTAAACTTGGCTGTCAGAACCTAGAAAAGTCTCCTCGGGGACTGTTCATTTGAGCTTTCTGTGATTCTCTCCTCGGCTTTACGGCCGGGTTTTCATCCTGTAGCTGAGCAGTGACCTCAGTGACCTCACTGATCCCGACCACAGATGGTTGGACAGCTGCCTGCCCGGGTGTCTCCACATAGTCCCAGGCCCAGAGGGGGAGATGCTGGGCGTCAGCCCCCCCCCCCCCCAGCTTCCCACTGTTACCTGTGCTCCTTTCTGGTGTTGCTGTTACTGTCGTCTGTCACCAAGTCAACTGTGACTTGTCCTGACCCCACGCACAGCCCTGGACCCTGCCCTGTCCAGCGCCATCCTCGCCGACGGCTGGTCTGCAGCCCAGGGTGGCAGTCACCCTGTCACTCCTCCCTGTGGAGGGGCTTCCTCTCGTTCTTGGACGCCCCACCTTTCCCACCACGATGCCTTTCCCAAGGACTAGCCCCTCCTGACCACATGCCCAAAGCACCCTACAAACTAGAGAAGAGGTTTCTAGGGCCCACGTGGGTTTGCCAACTTTGTTGTGGGCACACCACAGACCCCCACACCGCACAGTGACAGACCAACTCCGGTCACTTACGTCGGACCGACTGCAGGAAGGACCTGATGAAGTTGACGCTGTACTGGTGGTCCGGCTTGTGGACCCGGCCCAACTGGACCAGGTGGTGGTCCACGGGGCTGCTGGCCAGCGCGTCCAGCTCCGAGCTGCTCCAGGCGGGGCCCAGCGACAGCACGAAGAGGACGAAGCCCTGGCACTTGGCCCGCAGGGCCTCGCTCCTCAGGGCCTCCCGGTCCAGCGGGCTGGTCTCCCCTGCTGACAGGACAAACAGGACCTTGTTCCTCCTCGGGTTGGGGGTGCCCGAGAAGACGTTGTCCAGGGTCCACCGCAGGGCATGGCCCACGAAGGCGTCCCCGCCGGGCTGCTGCGTGGCCTGCTCCAGGTGACGCCGCATCAGGCGTCGGCTGCCGTAGGTGGTGAGGTTGAACTCGGGCTGCACCGGGCTGCGGGCGCCCTGGGGCACGAAGCCGCGGGGGGCATGGCTCAGCACGGCCACCCGGTCCCCAGAGGCCGAAGTCAGGGGCTCAGGGCTGACCTCGAAGTGCTCCAGCAGGGCCCCCGCCAGGCGCCTCATGTCATCGAAGTCGGCGTGGGCCACATGCCGGGAGCCGTCCAACAGGAAGGCCGCGTCCATGTAGGCCTGCATGGGGCCCAGCCTGGCCCGCTCACAGGAAGGGTCCGGTCTGCAGACATCTGCCAACGAAAAGTCATGGGGTCACCAGACAGCCAAGCAGAGACAGCATCCCACAGGCCTGGCCGCACGCCCTTTGACTAAAAACCCAGAAAACCTCCAAAGGATCAAACTTGTAGCTGGCCCTCCGGCAGGTTTCAGGGGCCGTAAACCCCACAGCTCCGCCTCGGGGTTTGAATCCAGCTGCTCTGCAGGAGAAATATGGGCCATCGACTCCCACCGCCTGCTGGAGGGTCAGCTATGGCTCGGTCCTGACTCGATAGCACACAACAACAACAAATTGCACAGAGGAGACTGCCCCGCTCTCTCCCACGGAACTGCTGGTGGATTTGAACAGCCTGCCTTTGGGTTGGCAGTGCAGTTCTTTACCACTAGACCACCAGAGCCCACTCCAAACCACCATGAGAACTAATGCTTTCTCCATATTGACAACATGCAGGTTAAACCCACCCTGACCAGAAGGTGGGAGGCCATTCCTTCAAAAATGCCCATCTCATTTAGAAAGGAATGTGTAGCAGAAAAAGGAGGAAGTGGATTTTATTGAATATTTATAGGAGATTGTCCAAATCCTGCTTATTTTATAGAAGAAAATGTAGCCAGGGAGCAAAGGCTTTTAGCCAAGGACACCCCAGGACTTCCAGGTGCTTTTGCACATGAAGTTGTGCTCTGATGGGCCAGGGCCCTGGGGATGGCAGTGGGAAGGCCCCTTGGGTGGCTGAATGCAGACACTGTCTCTGTCACAGCCATGCTGTGTACCCCTGCAACCCCTGGCAAGCCACTGCTGGAGGCCCTGTCTGTCACAGCCATGCTCTGTACCCCTTCCACCCCCTGTCAAGCCACAGCTGGGCCCCAGAGCTGCACAGGCCCTGAGCAACAGGCCCTGAGCAAGGTGAACTCTCATTGTCCCAGGCCCCATCCTGGGCTGGCGTTCTAGAATCCTAGGCTTTCACCCCTAAAGTTAACCAAGGCTGAGGGCGAGAAGGGCCTTGTTAGGAACTGAAGAAGGAGAAATAGAACACGCTGTGTGTGCACTGCCAGTTCTTGGATGAGGCAAGAGCCCCATAAAATGCCACTGGATGAGAGAGAAGTGGGCTGAGTGTAGGTCCTGGGGGTGCAGCAGACGCCTCAGCTCCAGTCTGGCCCAGGCTCACAAACTGGCTGCGGACAGGTGAGGTTTCTCATGTGGACACTCAACGTCACGGCCATGGACATGGACAGATAACAGAGCGGCCACCTGTGTGCATGGCTCTTCAGAAAACCAGAGACAGCGGGCTGCCCAGTGCTTGGTCCTGTGGACATTTCAGTTGCAGGGAACGGGGAGCGGCAGCCAAAGTTTCTTCCATTATACGCCGAAGAGACTACACACGAGTTGGAGGCAGGACGTGGAGCCAGGGTCTCTCCACAGTCACACGGACGTGACTCTGTCCCCGCAGAGTGTCCTGAGGGACAGTGTGAGGGAGCAGATACAGACTCTCAGCGTCAGCGGACCCCCACAGTCCCCCAGGGCATGGCTCGCACCTCCACTGCCTCGGAAAGTCCCAGCACGGAAACCCACCCCGTGAGCCTCAGGGACGGGAGATGGTGGCTTAGAGAGAAAGGGGTGCGAGTTCTGAGAAGACAGGAAATCTGCCTCCCCCCCGGAGCTGCTACCTCGCTGTGGCGGCCGCTCACGGGGCACAGATGAGCATCTCACCAGGCCATGGGGAGAGGAGAGGAACTAGCCGCTTTAGTTAGGCCACACGGGAGTTTCGGGGAGCAGAAATACGGGGCTTCCATTACCTCACAGGGCTCTGGTAGCCTAGGAGGTAAGGAATTGTGCTGCCAACCCAGAGGCATGTGGTTTGAATCCAGCAGCTGCTTCGTGGGAGAAAATGGGTGATATATAATTTACAGAGTCTGGAAAGCTTCTGGGAGTTCAGCTACTCATCTGCACACACCCAACCAACTAGCCCGGGAGTTCAGGCCGTTTGGAGCCTGCCTTCTTGGTTTTAACTGGGCTGTGAGCCCCAGAGCATATGATTCTGTGCCTTCAAGCCCCATCTTCCTAAGGGCAAGGTTCCCGTCTGTTACCCAGAAGGCAACAGCATGTGGCCTCCAGCCAGGGTCTACATGACGCCCACTGGCCATCGCAGTCACTTCTGCGCATGTCATAGCTGTTACTGGTACTCGTGGCCACCGAGGCCATCATCCTATGGCCACCCCACGTGTACCAGAGTAGAACTGTGCTCCTGGGGTTTTCAGTGGTTCAGTCGTGGGCAGTAGATGCCCAGTGTTGGGTGAAAATCAAGCTTCCAAGCAGCGTTTCAGTGAGCTGGGCACATCCGCTGCTGGGACCGCCCAGGAACTTCTCAAAACCATGACAGCACTGGAAGAGAAGGCCCCAGTCCAGTCGTGGGGCTCGCCCTGTGGGTCCTGTTCAAGTGCAGACAAGGCATCTGTGTTGGCATTTGGCCATCCGTGCTGCAGCTTGTCAATGGAAAAGGTGGGAATATGGGTCAGTTTTATTTCAACAGCACTGAAGAATATTCCTGAGCAGACAGGGAGGTGTGCTGAATTTCTGTCAAGCATGTCTTGGAGGCGATGAACACAGAGGTTTGGGAAAACATACTTTACAGCAGGTGACACTGGGCAGTGAGAGCTTTCCTGAAATCCTTACAGCTTCCTGGGCGCTTTGCTCGGTGCACTTCGCACCCACGTGGTTGGGCTCCACAGACCAGTCATGACTGCAGCTGCCACAGTCTCCCCTTTTCTGGCACCCCCGAGTTTGTTACTGCGCGATGCTAAGTGTCAGTGATGGGTACAATTGACAGTAGCTTTTCTTTTTACTGCTTTTGTAAATGCAAAGCATTGGGTAATGTGATGCTGGAGAAATGAGACTGTGTAGGAGACCTGGACAAGCCTTCTCAGTGACCCTCCCCGCCGAGCCGAGACAGTCCGTCTGTGGAAGCTGTGTCATGGGGTGAGCCCGCTGCCACGTTCCCGCTGTCTTGGCCAGCAATGACTCACCGCTCTAAGGGTCCTGCCTGAAAGAGGCTCCCCCAGGGGGTCTTACCATAGCAGAAAGTACAGCGCCGGAGTCCTTCGAGTGCTGGCGCCAAGTCAGCTCCAGCCGGGACCATGATGACTTGGAACGTGCCAGTGTCGTCGATCTGCAAGCAGCAGAAGCAAGAGAAAAAGCAGCTTAGTGGGGGCTGCAGAAACCCTCCAGGACTGCTCGGGGAATGGACATCTGCCACAGGCAAGGCTGGGAAGGTCATGGTCAGCACAGAGGGTCAGGGAGGCGACGAGGTTAAACCCCAGTGGACTCCTTAGCTGTATGACCAGTTAACTTCACTTGTGTTTCCTCACTTGTGGTGATGGTGTTAGGTGCTGTCAATTTCGCTAGTACAGTGACCCTGTGACCACCAGACTGGAGCCCTGTCCTACCCTGTGTCACCCTCACTGTCTGTGATACGCCAAGCCCGTTATGGTCCCTGTGTCATTCTGCCGAAGGTCTTGCTCTCTCTGGCCCCCTGCCTTTCCCAGCAGGAGAAGGACTGACAAGATGCCCATGAGATGAAGTGTCCCTGTCCTCGCCTCTAAGGAGCAGTCTGGTTGTGTTTCCTCCACGACAGACTTGTTTGTTCTCTTGGCCATCTGTGGATGGACACTCAGCCCTCTGTTCCAGCGCCACGGTCAAAGGCACTGATTCTTCTGTCATTTTTGTTTGTTTTTCAGAGCTCAGGTGCATAGGAAGCACTTGCCAATACCATGGCTTGGAACAGGTCTCATTTGTAAAACAGGGTTACTACTAACCAATCAAAATCCACTGCCATCAAGTCGCTTCTAACCATGGTGACCGTGTGTGCAGGGCAGAGCCGCCACCAGGGTGTCCTTGGGGAGGATTGCCCGGCCTCCCGTGGTGCCAGTGGGGAGGCCTAAGCTGCCAACCTGTAGTTTATTAGTAAAGGGCAAACCATTGGCTCCACCCGGCGATCATAATACTTCGTGAAGAACACTGAGTATACCTGGCCTGCCACAGAACACACAGATCTGTCTTAGAAGGACAAGCAGATTTTCCCAAGCTGGCCCCAGCACTGCGGCCCCACAAAGAAGGCAGGTGAGAAGGGCCGCTCAGCTGCCGATGGAGAAGTGACCAGAGTCCACCACCAGCTCCACAAGCATGTCCATCGAGGGGGCTTTAAGCAGTGTGCCCCTCGGGCACTCGAGGAGTTGCAGAGATTTTCCATGAAGCAGATGGGAACACTAGATGTTCACGTTGTCACCAGACCAACAAGCCGTCCGGGCTAAAGGAACATTCCTTAATGTCCCATACCGCACCCATGTACAGTTGCCCAGAAAACGGAATGAGGACGTGGATTCCCCAAACAAGCTGTGTACACTGGTTACCTGCGTGCCTGTCACCACCTTAAAAAAATCTACAGTCAATGTAGGGAGAGAACCGAGAGCTGATTATCAAGTAAAGTTAAAAACTGGCAAGAAAAAGAACAAAGTGCAGCCAGAATGTCCTTTAGAAGCAAGGAGGGTGGGACTCATCGCACGTGGTATTTGGCCATGGTGTGTGGTTTGGGGGCCATCTGAAGGGCTGGTCCCGAGAGAAAGACAGGTTTGGTAAAATAGTCAACTAGAAAAAGGAGGATCCTCAACAAGCGAGATAGGCAGTGTCTGCCCAGCGGGCTCAGGGACAGCACGTGGCCAGAGGATGACACAGGAGCGGGCAGGACGGGACAGTGGGGTGGAAGAGTGAAAGACCCTTCCCCAGGAGAGGTGGTGGGCTCAGGGATGGCAGGACGGGACACTGGACTGGAAGAGTGAAAGACCCTCCCATGGTGGAGGTGGAGGGCTCAGGGACAGCAGGACAGGACACTGGGGGTGGAAGAGTGCAAGACCCTTCCACGGAGAAGGCAATGGGTTCCAGGACAGCAGGACAGGACACTGGGGGTGGAAGAGTGAAAGACCCCCCCCCACACACAGGAGAGGTGCAGAGGAAAGGATGGGGGTGACACAGATGGGGCTTCCTGCGGTGAGATGCGGCACTCTGTGTGCTGGAGACCCTCTTACCATCCACCAACCTTTACCAGACTCTGCAATGTCTCTGATTCTTCATGGAAATGAGTTCTTTGAAGAAATGCTAGTTTCTGTGTTTGAGAGAGGACAGGGGAAAACCGAGGCTGCTCCCCCAGGAAACGTGGGTCAGAGGGCACTGGGCTTCATCTGGACCTTTCTAACAAACGCCCTTTGTGTGCACTTGTGTGCGCTTAAGCTAGCTTGAGCTGCCTTGCGTGACCGTATGTAAAAGTCTTGACTAATAAACCAGCAAAGCAATTAGTCTGCATTACGAACAGCTTTTGATGGATATCTCTGGTCAGTGTTTCACATGAAACAAAGCTTCAGGCCATGTGGGTGGTGGTGAGCGAAGAGAAAGCAAACTCAGCACCAGAGGACATGGCCGGGCCATCTGCAAGGGACAAAACCCGCCACAGCCGTAAACAACCACCATGCGCTGCAAGGAGCTGAGGGAACAGAGACCCCCATTGTTGCCTCAGAGTGGGCGCAGTGTGGAGACCCCAGCTTGCATGCTTGCTCTCCCCTGGCAGTGAGCTTTCCTGTGCGGGAAGTGACTGCGTTTCACAGCAGGAGGCAGGTCCTCCACCTGAGCTGCCATGGCTCTTGCAGACCCCTGTTAGAAAGTCTGCTGTCAGAGCAGGGAGGCCTGTCCTGGAGAGGGGGAACCAGGCTGCTCCCTGGAGGTAAGGACAGTGAGGCTCTGGAGAGGGGAACCAGGCTGCTCCCCAGGGGCAAGGACTGTGAGGCTCCATCTCTCATACTTCGACAGGTTGACAGGAGGGACTAGTCCTTGGAGAAGATGGCATGCTTGGAAGGGTGGAGGGACAGCACAGGAGAGGAAGACCCTGGACGGGATGGATTGACACAGTGCAGTGGGGTAGGTGTATCAGAGACAGTGAGACTGGCTCAGGACAGGGCAGAGTGCAGAGCTTTTGTGCATAGGGTCGCTATGAGTTGCAGTGGGTTTGCTAGCACATAATAACAATAACAACAACAACAATAAATACCTTCGTTTAGAGTCACATTCCTGGAGGACTTGGCCCAGGATTGCTGTGATTTGTCACCTTCTCTTGTGCTTGGCACAGCTACAGTGTGAAGGCTGAGCCATTACTGAATAATTTAGCCTTGACATTTACCACATTTCACCACAATGGTGTCCACCCACAGCAGTGCCGTTGTTCTCATTGACTTGGGTGTATTTGGGGGAGTTCTCAGGGGGGCTTTGCTTCTACCACTCCCACCAAGAAACCTCCCAATCAGTGAAGTTTGGGAAATACAGTTTTACAGATCACACATCCCACAATGTGTCACTGGAACAGCGATGGTAAATTCATCATTGAGAACTTACTGAATCTTAAGCAAGAGGGTTCTTCTCTTAACCTTTGCTCTTACTCACAGTCCAGTGGGTTCAAAGAAGCACCAACTTGGATGAGAGTTTAGCTATAGTCTGCAGGTGGCCAGTATGGGGTACTCAGCAAAGGGTTCTGCATGATACCCTCTGTATTTTCTTCTTTGAGTATTAAAGGACTAAAAAGTTGGTATACTCAAGGAAAAATAAAAAGAATATAATGAATACAAAATGAGGGGACTAAAAAAAATGGACAGTTGTGGTTAAATGCCACCGAGTCATAGACAATTCATAGAGACTCTATGAATGAAAGACCTGAACACTTGCATAACTTTCATCGTTTCTCCAAGTTCATAAGGTTTCTGGAGGCAAGCTATTTCAGAAGTGGATGCCACTCCTGCTTCCAAGCTTGTTTTAATCAGGGAGCTCCACCAAACACTGTCCACTATGAGTAACTATTATCACATTTGACACATCAGTGTTACAGTGTTCAGCTTCACAGCAACCACAGGTTACCTCTGTACAGCAAATGGACAGACCAGTGCTATACCACTTAGAAGAATGTTTGACAAAAACAATTAAAACCAGGCCTGAGGGCCGCAGATTAAAATACCCTACCTTTGGCTCGGTAGCATCACTTTCTGTCCACTAGGCGCACAGAGCTCTCTCTATGGCTCACGGCAATTCCATGAACAACAGATCTAACCCTGTCCCATCCTACGCCATCCCCACTATCCGAGACCCATTCGAGCCGATTGCTACAGTCACCGTATCGATCCATCGTGTTGAGGAACTTCTTCTCTGACCTTCCACTTCTCTCAGTGTAAAAAAGATGACAGTGTAAACCATTAACCGGCTAACAAGTGAGTACAGGTCAGTCCTCTCAGAGTCACCTCAGAAGTGCCTGCCGATCTACACTGGACAAAGCAGCCACTGAAACCCACAGAGCATGGCCCTGCTCTCACACAAGGTCACCCGGAGTCAGAGTCAACAGGTGTTTGAAAGAGACACACGTCTTACAAATTCATTAGCAGAAGAGAGCCACCGTGCGTTAGGAGGCCTCATGCACAGTGGGTACAGAACGCCCAAAATAAAGGACACTGTAACATGCTTTTAGAGGGAAGGTCCCCATCCAGAAGCTGAGCTCAAGATTTCCAGTCAAAGGTGGCCTTCTACTCTAAAAGGAACGGACAGCTCATTACTCAACTTTAACCAACTGCAAGGAATGTCCAAATATGGTCCATCCACTCCCCAGCCTGGCCACTTGTCAGCACAGCGCCCGCTTTCACATCGGACTCTGGACTCAGAGGCAAGTGTGAAAGTCACTGTGGTGAGGAGCAAATTAGGTTAGAAAATAGAACCCCAGAGTGGAGATGCAGGCAGCATTGCTCCTGCAGAGTGTGAAGTCTCTTCTTAAATAGTGAACAAAAGTTCAAGGTCCCCACAGCTAGCACATGGCTAAGTGCTTGACCACTAGCCAAAAACACAGGTGGTTCAGACCCAGCCAGAGGTCCTTCAGGAGATGTCCTGTTCTGGGCACGTGGGGCCGCCCTGAGTCAGTGTCATCTGATGCTTACGGACAAGGATGGTGCAATGTGTTCTCACATACTTTACAACTGTTTTCAGGAGGGCCCAGTCTTTGAGAAAAACACCAACATAACTAAAAAAGGGGGAAGGTCAAGAGCAAGAGAGGAAGGCCCTCACCGAGATGGCCGGGCACAGTGACCGTAACAGTGGACCGGAGCACAGCGGAGAGTGAGAGGGTGGCACAGGACAGGGACAGGCTCGAATCGCAGGAACTCTATGAGGGGACGTGAGCCTGATGAGAACTAACAACAATAACAAAAGCACAACTGAAGGGAGTGGTGCGGTCTCGGCCAAAGCCAAGCGGAGAGGTCGGGGTGCACCTTCCCAGCAATGCCAGGTGCCAGGCTGTAACCTTGGGGCTGTGCCTCCTCTGAGCCCTTCTAGACAAGGATCAACAGCTTCTATTGGTTCTATCAGGGGTCTTTTGTTTTTCTGGGTTACTCTTGGCTGCTCAGAGCCCAGGGCAACACGTGGCATATGTGAATTCTTCACTAGATATTTGTTGGATAAACTAATCCATTTTTTACTCTCCTGCATCAATAGCTCTTTTTCTACCCAAAGTGTGTTTGGGACCCTCACTGCTCAGATTTGTGAGGGCCCATGACCAGCACAACATGGGCTGACCCAGTGACTGTGACAGTGGGCTTGGGCTGGTGGAGACCCTGAGGACGGCACAGGGTAAGGCAAGGGTCACTGCAGTTCATAGGGTCACTGTGAGTGTCGCCAACTCGATGGCACCTAACAACAACAACAACAACAACAACATGGTCAATAACTTGGATCTTTGTTGGTGCTCTTCCGAGTTGAACTAAAAAAATCCAAGCAATTTGGCAGAAAGGGGCACCATTAATCTGTAAGTGGTGGTAGCATTCAAGAATTAAGGGCGATGGGAAAATTTTGAATGCGGATGAAATAATGATTGAACAACATGGTGATATAATGAATGTCACTGAATTGCAAATTTGGATATGGCTTAAATGGAAAATGTTTTGTTACTTGTATATTTATCACAGTAAGACAAAGATACTGATCAAAACGTCTACCAAATCTGACTGCATCACAGGACTTGTGCAGAGACTGTGAGGTTGGTTCAGGACCGGAAAGGCTTCCTTCCTAAGCACACGACCCCCTGGCTGTTGGTGTCTGCTCAGTGGCCCTGACGACAGGTTACTCGCTATGCATGTACCTTTGCGTGGCAGGTAAGCTTACCCCACAACTGCCCTCCGTCATTTGCATCAGAATATAGACTTGTTTCTTGTTCTGTGTCTGTAAAACGAAGATGGGGCTCTCGGCAGAGCGCAGGAGAGAGCGGTAAGGGCCCTCAAGCCACCAACGTCTTGTGTGGGTTTTTTGAGCCACTGCTTCCCCAGGGGACTTCACTTGTATAACCCGTTCCAGTCTTTTCTAGTTTATGTGCATTTTCCTTTCTGATCCTGACACAACAGCCTCTCCATTTGCATAATTCTGAGTTAGTTCGATGAGCTAATAGCAGATTCAGCTCCTTTACAAGCTACACTTCAATGTTATTACAGTGATTGTAGTTCAGCATCCAACAACGGAGCATAATAACAATGGAAGCAACGCCATCATTCCTTACTGCTCCCGGGTGTGAGGCGGGGCGCTCGCCCTACAGCATTCAACCGGCCACCTCAACCCGAGGCTTATGCTCTAAGCATTGTCAGGGAAGGACTGCACTTCAACTCTGGTTATTCAACCACCTTCAGGGAACATTACAGAGCTGGGAAAAGCCTGGTGGTTGTTATGTGTCCTCGAGTTGCTTGCGACTCAGAGCGACCCTATGTACAAGCAGCTCTAAATCCTGCTCTATCCCTTCCCAATCTCATTGTCTCCAACATGCCTACCCCTATTAGCCCTGTGACGGAATCAATCCATCTCATCAAGGGTCTTCCTCTCCTGCGCTGTCCCGCCACCCTCCCAAGCACGATGCCCCTCTCCAAGGACTGGTCCCTCCTTGCAAAAGTCCAAAGTATGTCAGCTGGAGTCTCAGAATCCTTGCCTCCAAGGACCAGCCTGGCTTCACCCTCTCCAGGACGAACTGGTTTGTTCTCCTAGCTGTCCATAGTATATTCAATATTCTTCTCCAGCACCAAAGCTAAAATACATCAATTCTCCTTCTTATCATCCTTAGTCATTGTCCAGCTCTCTGATACATAGCAAGTAATTGCAAAAACTAAGGCCTGGATCAGGCACACCTTAGTCTCCAGACTGATGTCATTGCTCCTCAGTACCTTGGGGAGGTCTCTGACAGCAGACTTTCCCAATGCAATGAGTCTTTTAACTTCCTGGCTGCTGGTACCAAGAGTGCTGATTGTAGAGCCAAGTAAACTAAAGCTGTCAACAAAAGCCTTAGAAGAGTGTTTACACACCCGTGTTTATCCCGGCTTTGTTCGCAATAGCAAAGAGCTGAAAACAACCAAGTGCCCATCAACGAATGGATAGAGAAGCTGTGGTATATTCACATAATGGAATACTATGCAGCATTGAAAAACAAGGAACTCATGAAATATTATGCAAAATGGATGACCGTGGAGGATGTTATGCTGAGTGAAATATCTCCGTCACAAAAGGAAAAATATTGCATAGGGCCACTGTTATAAAACGAGACTGACATCGGGGTTGAGGGAAGACAGAGAAGGAGGGGAGGAATGATGTATACAGCATTAAAACAGATGAGGGAGAGAACTGTTTAAAAGGCATATATGTGTGGGTATTATTGTCATGACAGGAGTCCAGAATGAAGGCTGCACAGTGGAGTGGAGTTGGGGGGAGGGATTATATAACAATGAAACAATTTTTCTTTTACAAAAAGAAGAGTGAATGGGGGTGAAGGGGTGGGCATGGAGAAAAGTGCAACAATGAATGACTGGAAGGAAACCCTAAATTTCTGTAAACCTTCATTAAAATGAAAAATAATAATAAAAAAAGAAGAGTGTTTAATCCTGGTCCTGGGGTTCCAGGGAAGACAGGCAGAAGTCACCTTCAACAGGTGACTGGAGGTGACCCAGGCCCACCTGCATTTAGTCTCCAACAGTAAATCCAGTGCCCCTTCAGAAGGGCCTGCTCCCTCCTAACCTGCTTTTCATGCCACCACCCACCCTGTTCTTGTCATCTGAGGTGCTCTCCTGTCCCCGCATTTAAAGGCAGCGAGTGAGATGCTTTGTTACTTCCTTTCTTGAAATGGAAACTTTTCTAACGGCTGTTAAGAGCACCCCGTGTCTCCTCCTTGGGGTCCTTCCTGGTCTCAACACAAATGAAGAACCAAACTGTACATTCACCTAATGAGACCGTCCTCCCCTCTGTCTGGTTTCATCAAATGTGCTCGCCCGTCAGCATTTCCATTCTCAATTCAGGAAGCTGGAACCAGAGCGACCTCCTCAGATTGCATCTCGTTGTGACTATGTTGTAAAATCATCCGGCTGTTTTTCATGGAATGACTCCCATCACGCCTTCACCCCAGCATGCCCTCACCCCATCACACCCTCACCCCCTCACGCCCTCACCCCATCACGCCCTCACCCCATCACGCTCTCACCCCATCACGCCCTCACCCCATCACGCCCTCACCCCCTCACCCCATCACCCCATCACACCCTCACCCCATCACACCCTCACCCCA